ATCTAACATGTCAGAGCCTGTAGGATGATTTAAAAAACAATAAATAACATTAAATAACCGTCTTCCAACCTGTTCTTCTAGTAGAATTAAGTTTTGAAAATTTTCCGCAGTTGTATGGATTTTTTGCAAAATTTACAGATTTTTGAGTCTTTTTATCAGGTAAACGTCTGAAGAGGTTGACATGTTTGGGACAACAAAATACAGACTTGTTGTTATTGAGTTTGTCAACACGAACCACTACCTGAGAGGCGCTACTAGCCCCTCCCCTGCCAGAGCAGGATAAGTCAGTGCAACTTCAATCAAATGAGAGAGAGGGTGGGGGCGATTGCTGCATTGCGGCAGAGAAAATGTTTTATGGGTAGAGTAGTTTTATTTTTCCTGTAATACTTCATTATAGTTTTTTAAGACAAAGCTAAATGAAAGGGGCACTGAGCAGAGTTACAACCAGTTATTACAAATAATTACTTTTTTCTTCTGCAGTTTGGCGCCCCCTCCAGCAGATGGCGCTCTAGGCGAACGCCGAGTTCGCCTATGCCAAGAGCCGGCTGTGACTAAGGCAGCTGACTTGGGACCAGAAAGTTACATGTTGGATAGCTGAAGGAATGCTGACCTTTTCTTTGGTGAGTTGTTATTTTGGCAGGAGGTGAGAGGCCTTTGGAGTTGCGAGCTTGCACTGTCACTTCACAGTTTGCACAGAATGGAACAGACCAACTCTTAACATCAGCGCTGACATTAATGCTGAAACTCAGGTTTCGGCTGTAAACAGTGATCTTGTACTCCACATTCCTCCCTTTGGAGATGGACAGTTCAGACTCCTGCAACAAAATACAACAAACAAACAAACCACAAGACATCAGCTCTTTATTTGCATCTTCACTTTAGTGGGCAGCTGAAGGAAGCAGAATATAAACGATTGTGTTAGCCATGAACTCACAGGTCGCACCACACTATGAGTGTGTAACACACTTCGTTTCTGTTCAGCTCCTCGTTTTCTTGTAAACTGAAACTGTTGTGTACTGTCAGGTTTCAGTCACCTCTGCGTGTGTGTACGGCTTGTAGATGAGCGTGTGTGTATGTGGTCAGTAGTGAGAAAGTGTGTGACTAAATGGGAAGCAGTTTAATTCACGCAAAATAAAATACAGAAGCAGGAAAATAAAAAGGTACTGACAAGTTAGCACAAACAAAAGTGATAAAAAGAAAACTCTGGATTTACTCTTTCTTTTAAAGTGTTGCATGTTTTAGAGTTTGAGCAGTGTTGTATAAAGTACCTCAAAGTGATACTTGAATAAAAGTACAAGTATCTTATAAAAATACTTTGGTAAAAGTTAAAGTCTTCTCTAAAATTATTACTTGAGTAAAAGTCTTAAAGTATCTGATATTTTTTGTACTTAAGTATCAAAAGTAAATTTCTGACACAGAATCTACTTAAGTAT